TATCAAGAATGATTTTGCAAAAAAAAATGTTGTCAGATATGAGTTGTGTTATTTCCTATAAATATCAGACGTTTCTACGTAGGATGGAGAAGAAAACTGCTTAAACTAACATTTAATACAATTAGTATTACTTAATCTAACACTGAAAATCAGTGCTTTTCATAAAAAAAAAATGTCACGTTTCCTGTGAGAATAAAACTAATGCAGTCAGATTCTCATTTTCTCTTTTTTATTGATAGATTGAGTTTAATATCTAAATGAAATATATCATATAAGAAAATAGGAACGATTAATAATTAATCTTTATATTTAAATCAACATATTCTTGACTAACTCTATCAAACTGAAAAATTGAAAAAAAAAACATTGAATATATTTACTTTGTTGAAATGCTAACTAATAACCAACTATAATAACTCTTTTCTTTTAAATCAAATCGAAATATAAATGTTTTCGGTTATCTTCTTAAATAATTTATTAGGAAATTACTAAAATAATAGAAGTATTAATATATATAAGATTGAGAAAAAACTGCTCAACTAAACAACAATTTTATTCGCCTATGCGATTCATTGATTATGAAATCTTTTTTTTATCCTTTGCAACAAACACACCATATGGAAATAAAAAGAATGAGTTCTCTTCCTTTGTTCAGTTTAGCGTCATACAGAATCCTGCCAGATGTTACCCTTTTTTTCTTCTGTTAATAAGAAATATCACAGAAATGCTTTAATCATATATGTAAATGCAGAAGCAAACTTTCAATGAACATAAAACCTGACTTTTGTTAAAACAACATAAAAAATCATTATTTTTTAAAGGAAATACAAAGTTTCCGAAAAAAAGTAAAAAACTGTTGAAGTAAAATTTTTTATTATACTATATATATTCTGAAAAACAAAAATTTAGTCGATGTTTGATTCTATTAATGCCGTGAATACATTAGAAAGTCCCGGATCTTCTAATCTGTCTTATCCTTCATAAATTAAAATAGAGATCTTCTATTATGTCCATAAAGAAGAGAATATTTTCTTGCTACTTTCAACTATGTAGTTTTTATAAGTCTTTTAATTTTCTTTATATTGTTTTTAAAGGATTATTGAACTTTTTAACAGTATTACAGTCAAGTAAAGTCAATACTATAATAACAGAAAATTTCATAAAACTAGCATTTTAATTATAAAAATGTAAAAAGTTACATAAAATATGATTAATCGACACTTAAATATGGAAACATCTTTCACAGAATAAAACAAATCGTTCATACAATAATATCATTTCATATAATCAAAATAAAAAAAAGTTAATTTTTTCCACATGTCCCTCAAGCTAAGTTGAGGGTGTCGAAGTTTCATTGTTGAACCTGTAATTTTCGTGCAATCTCGATTTCTTTCTAATTAATTACCAAATAAGTTTAATATACTTTAATAGCAGGGGTGTTACTTTATCTATACTTTATAAATAAAGATATAAAGACTTACTTTATTTTTATTTTGTAAAGAATAAAGACAAAGAAATAAAGCAAATCTCTTTATATTTATAAAACAAAGATAAGGATAATCTTTATTTGCAAAAATAAAGTTAAAGTTAAGAATAAAAATACATTTTTTTCATGCAATAAGTACATATGCAAATACTCTGTATAAAACATAATACGTTTATTAATGCTCTTTCTTATCATCATTTCCATATGCCATATCATCAAAAAAGAATCACACAAGAAACGATATATACGAAAAACGCTATTCCATACTATAGTTAACTATATAATATCATAATTTTTTGTGACGTACTCTAAAAAAATAAAATCTTTATTCTAAAGTAAATTAACGATCAAGTAACACCCCTCTTCAACAGTTATGTTTTGCCATCATAAAGCTCTTTTTTACAAAAATATACTGATATCTATTGTAATTATAAATATTTCCATCGCGTTCAGATAATGTGAATCAAAGCATAACAGATTAGATACAGTGACATCAACAAACTATTTATTAAACTTAACTGATGTCCTTCACACATGAAATAGTAGCTATTTATATTACACATTTTATAAGTTGAGATATTTCATGATATATCTTAATATTCAGGAGAAATTCTTAAGTAATCACATATAGAAGAGAGAAGTATCTGACAGAAAGTAAGAAAGAAATAACTATACCTGGTAATATATGTATATGTGCGTAAAAAAGAAAAAGAACGGATATTTATATTTAATATGTATGGCACGTCCTTTGTACGATATATGATGTTACGATCAATATGCAATGATAATAGTGGCTGTTGACGAAAGTTAATCGTATTTAAGGCTTTTCAATCATAGATCAAATTGATTGATAGTTAAAGAAAAATCAAGATAGGACGAACTGAGAATCAGTTTTGAATATCAAAAGGACAGAAAAACAAATTTGTTAAGTGTAGCTAAGGAACACAGCGGAACAGCGAGTGCTAACAGAATAGAAAACGGAAAAATCATCTATTAGAAGAGAGTCTTCTAATGTATCGCCGACTTTATTTAACATCTATTCTTAAGAAGAAAAACAAATCTTCATGTTTTGTTTTTTGTCTATTGTATTGACTGAAATTCTTGGATATTTTTTACTGTTTCGTATTCTATTCGGTTTATTATTAATAGATAAAATTTATGATGTAGTATTGCAAAGATCACAATTTATTCTTTACTCTTTGGATAAACCCAATTTATTTGGTTAAAAAATTACAAAAATATTTAAAATTTTCCTTGTATAATGAACTTCTGGACAACCTATATATGTGGTTTTAATTGAACATCCGGTTCATGTTGACAATTGGAATTATGATACACTCGCACCTACATCTTCAAATCCTATAAGTAGCTTACAGAAATGGGAATCGAGAAAAGTTGTTCTCGTACAATTTTATTTTACAGATAACGAAACTCAAAAACTCTTTTCTTGTTGTTATTTCATCATTTCTCTATACAAAGAATTTCATCAATATAACATACATTACACCATTCTCTTTCTATTCACTGAAAATTTGATGATGACGTTATAAAATAAATATTGAAACATTCATAGGATAATAAAATTGAACTAACAATGTAAGACATGAGTCAGTAGCTAATAATTCACATATCTCTTATATAAAAAGATACTCACATGTTGTTTCGAAAGACTTTGTGAAATACGACAGCGTATTATGAAATTTGAATCATTACCAAATGAAATTTTACTTGATTACTTTGGATATTTCAATGCATTGGATCTGTTTTATGCATATGATGGATTAAATTATCGTTTAAACAAATTAATTCGAATTTTACCATTACATCTTAATTTTCAATATGCAAATAAATCAAAATTTGGTGAATTTTGTCGAACAATGTCATTAAATGAGGAATTAAGAAATCAAATCTATGCATTACATTTATCAAATCAAGAAACAGATTTTCAAATCGAAGCATTTCTCTCATTTTTGTCACTTAATCAATTCATTAATCTTCGATCATTGTCTATAACCGAAACTGATTCCATTGATAGTACAAAAATAATATCCATGTTATCATCAATATCTAAACTACAAACATTATCAATTATTTCTTCAGATTTTCCATTCAATACCATCAATGAAACATTATTCATTTAAAATCTAACCATTTTTTATTGTTTTTTAAATGAATTATATCAATTATTACAACATATGCCTCTATTAAAATATTTAAATATTCAATGTCTTAATGATGACGGATATTCATATGATACAAATAGATTAAGTAATACTCCATGTGCCATTCATTTAAAAGAATTAATTATCGGAGATTTACAATGTACATTTATGAATTTCAAAATATTTGTAAAACAAATACCAAATTTACAAATTTTAACAATATCTACAAGAAAAAATCGTGATATGTTTGAGGCTAATCTATGGGAACATTTAATAAGAATTTCATTACCTCATTTAATTACTTTCGATTTTAATTTTGGTTGTATTTATGATTGTATTGATGATTGCATTTATGGTTGTATTTATGGTTGTATTTATAAACGTTATCTATACAAATATATGTTCGATGAATTTTAAACTAATTTTTGGCAAGAACAATATAATTGTTTCACTGAGTATATAAATGATAAACAATCAATATTTATTTATACAGCACCTTACATATCAAATACATTTAAATTAACATCAAGTACGATAAGACTTTATAACATTATGATTAATAAGTCCAATGAATCTCATGATCGAATCATAGCCAAGAAACTAAAAAAATCTTCAAATGATCAGCAAGTCAATGAAAAAGGATATCAATATATAAACAATGAATATAAACAGATGATATCACTTTTAGATACACAAAGTACAACAGATATAAAACTGAAAAAAAGAAAGAGAATAGAAAATTATAATCATACTAAAATCGATATTTTCAAAAATGTAACAGATTTAACATTACAATTGAACATATTAATAGAAGAATATTCATATTACTTTTCAAATATTACATCATTAAGATTAGTTCCATCGGAAACATTAGGACATCGTATGCTTACAAATCAACATATTCAAATTTTAAAAACAATTGTAAATTTATTTAATTTAAAACATTTAAATATTGAACGAATATATGGAATAGAAAATACATTAGTGTTATTAGAAATATTAAAACAATCGCCAAAACTATCTTCGATAACGTTTATTCCAAAAGCGATTATACAATTATTTAATGATGATGAATTATGTAAGTATTTAAATAAATTGATAAAAAAAATAATTCTAACTGATTATTTTGAATATTATGCTAATAATTCTGAAAAAATCAAACAATTTTGTCAAATATTTTCTAATATTGAATATTTAGAATGTAAAATCAATTCTCCGGATAATTTATTATTATTATTAAATTATTTACCAAAATTATCAAGTATCAAAGCAATTGGCAATAATAAATGTTATCCTGAAAGAAAATTTTCTCCGTTTGAAAATGCACTACGAAGATTAAATGTAATCTTTAATATTAATCATGTGTTCATTTCGGAATTTTATGAAACAAGAATATCTATTTGGATTGGTAACAAAATCATCTGATTATACATTAAATTATTAATACAGATGTTAAGAAAACCAATTATTTTCTTTTTATTTAGATTTATTAAACTTATCATTAGGTATTTCATTTTTTTTGTATTATTTAGGACGAATGAAGAGAAAAAAATTTGTATAATCAACGATTTGATGACATGAATAGTTAAATATGATTTCTTTTTAGTGAAAAAGTGATCAGAGCGGAATTTTGTGGAACGCACGTTAGTTTTCGAAGAAAATAGTGAGTATAGGTTTTAAGCTCAAGTTTTTCGGCTCTTCTCCCGCATCATAGACCTTAGCAACCAGAGTCAAAAGTTATTGAATACAAGTCAAGACAGCCGCTCATTTAGAGCCATTTTCAATGGTTTTTAATAGCTGAAAATCTCCGGAAATAACTCGGAATAGCCGAAAATAAATGAACACAAGACTCACACTTACTCACCATCAAAATGCTAGTCTCGGGTTTGCTCAGGGCTTGATCGCTGCAGTTTCAGTTTTAAACATAAATACATTCATCATTAAATATTGCCTATCTTGCTGTGAGTGTGGGTGTGGGTGTCATTGAGAGTGAAAAGGATAGTACCTGCATTCACATCCATCCATCCACCACACCTACACCCTCAAACAATATTCTATAGTTTTTGTAGGAAATTGAGAAAAACCACAGAAACTATTAGGCAACAGTTACTTTATAAATTTACAGACTAAATACAATCAATATGCAACTTTTAACATACAAGAAGACTCATAAAGAATTCGATATCATCGGTTGACTTATCTATTATTTTAATGTTATATAGAAAGAACAAAGAAATAATATACAGACTAAAAAACTGAATAATGAGAATAATAGATCTAATCAATTTTGTCTAATCGAAGTGAGAATAAAATATATTAAAACAAATCTTTTTGTAGAAGCAACATTATCTCAATAGTTATGAGAAGCATCGAAGTAAAATATAAATAAAAAATGTAATATATATTTCTTTCTTTTTTATCTTTGTATTCATTTACTCCCAATGTCTTATCCTGTCATCAATAAATCTACTACTTGATTGATCTTGTCATTCTTGTGAATGAGCTAATTCTTGTTTTTTGCCTCACAATTTTCTTCTTTTCGTTCGTTTCTGAACTTCTACCTTTGCTATCCTTTATTTCTATATTTTATTCTAGTTTTTTTACTTATTTTTAGTGAATACAGAATCTTTTTGATTTATTCACGTATTTATTTCTTATTGATTAAATAAATATATATTTATTAAAGCAGTGTCAGTGTTCTTGATTATTAATGTTGGTTTAAGTCTAAAAAAAGTCGAATATTAATGAAAAGAATTTGAAGATTGTTTTGTCAGCGAAATTGAAGCAAGCGAAAGCCATATTTACAGCATTGCTTTTGTCAAGCAAAGTTTTATTTGTGAATGATTCTTGAAATCTATTTTTTCTTTCTAATTATTGTTATGGAAATTTAGTGGTAGATGAATATAATTGACTTGAAGAGTTACGTATAGAACAAGGACTTGCGTTTAATACTATAGTATTATTGCTCTCCCAATTTCCCAGAAGGATTAAATCAAATCCACCGTCACCATTAAAATCACCCACACCAACATGAGTTGGAGTCAAAGTCCATGTGGAAATTTTAACTGGTTCTCCAAAACTCCCGTTGCCATATCCAACCAATACATATACAAAATTCTTTGTAGAAAATAAATTATACGCAGCTTGTAAAATAGTGAAAGTAATATCCAGTTGACCATCGCCGTTGAAATCAGCGGCGGTGATTGAGACTGGTGGATAACTAGCTGTTGTTGTAAATATCATTTGTGCTTGAAAACTCCTATCACCGTTTCCAAGAAACACACCAATGTTGTGATTGCCTGTGTTCGCAACGACAATGTCAAGATATCTGTCACGGTTAAAGTCATTTGCAACGATTGAAGATGGATAACTGTAAATTCCTGTTGATAAGATCAATGACGCTTCAAAACTTCCATTATTATACCCAAACATCACATCTACGCAAAATTCAGTAGGTATAGTGACAGCTATGTCCTGTTTACCGTCACCATTGAAATCAGCGATAACAAACGATGAATTACACAGATCATTTCTGGTAGACAATGTTATTTGGGTCGTAAAAACCCCATTTCCATAGCCTAGAAATAAACCTATATTACAACTGGTAAGGTCGATGAAACCGATATCTATATGACCATCCACGTTGAAATCGCCTACTGTCAACCAATAGTTTCCTACAAGTGGTCCTGTCCCCGATATATTATGGCTTGTCAATAATTGCATTGTTTCAAAACTTCCATTACCATCTCCAACTAGGATACCTACGCTGCCGCTTTCATCATTCATAGCTGCGAGATCCTGATGACCATCATTATTAAAATCAGCGGCAGCAAGAAATCCCAGAAAATCATAATTTTCCATGCCTATGCCTGTTGGAGATCTTATTCTTTCTCTAAAGGTTCCGTCTCCATTCCCAAGAAACACATACACAGATATGTTGTCATAGTTGTTATCATATGATGTCGCAAAATCTAATAAACCATCGCCATTAAAATCATTGACAGTGAATGCGTATAAGTTGAGATCGGAGCCACCTGTTGTGCTTAGAGAAGTTGGTTCATCAAACATCAATTGGCAAGTTGATACTAAAAATGAAAAGCAATTCAGTTGGTTTTCGATACCCAATGATGAGACATTTAAATGCTAATATATGCACTTTTGATGCACGTTGTACACTAGTTCTTAGTTTCTTGTATTTCTATACATGCATACATGTTGATATCTAGCACAGATGTTCAATCAACTATCTTCGAATCAACGTTTTTTAGTATAGATGAAAGGTGCGATAGTTTGATGCTTTTTTTTATAACATTCATCTTGAAAAACGATCGATATTCTCACTTAATATTGAAAAGATTTTTTATACGAAGTTTTATTTCATAAGTATAATAAGATAGACCTTTAATAGAATTTCTATTTGAACGATTCAATATGTAAATATAAGTATCTGTTTTTGATGAACATAACTAATAGTCTTGCTTCTAAAATATTTATCATGATTGATTGAACTTTGTATCTTCTGAAGATGCAAACTACGAAGAATCGAATATCTACTCACATATATACTCTAATTTCATTTTCTAATGTATTGTTCAGTGAGGGGATCTTTAATAGCATTGGTTGTCTTTAGAAATTTTATGTTCGTAGATAGGTTTCGTAGTTTCAATATGATGAATTCTTACTAAAGTAAAATGGTTCTGAAGAACAAATATCGATATATATTAAATTATAACATAAATAACTCAAGAAACTAAAGTATTGTACTAATTAATATACTTGGGCAATTATTGGCTAGAAACACGACAATCTAAATGTGACAACAAGTGCATCGATATGCTATCATGAGACTATTTAGGTGCTGTATCAAACAATAGATATTCACTTACACAAGATTGATTATTTTCACCTCAATGTCGTGTGTTCACATTCTGTATCTTTCTCTTTCCTTTGATTTTGCTACTTTAGATTTGGTTTGAACTTATCCAAAGATACATTGAGAAGTGGTTTCGAATATGTTCTGTACTTGATACACATTAGTATTATATATACACACAAACTTCTTTCTCACACTCTTCTCTCTTTCCATTTCTTATTTTCATTTTTATGTTACATCAAGTACATATATATTCATCTCAGAAGAAACTTGTTGAGAATAAACAAAATCATTATTGAAAATGAAATCAAATGTGTTATTATCAAGAATAATATTTAATCTCACTAAAAATCAATATTGAATGAGTGTTTATCGTTCTTGAACGTTGTTCCAATAGATGTTCTTTAGTTTAACTATTTTTAGACAAAACCAAATCAAAAAATTCAAATGATTTATAAGAACCTATTCGAATGTCTCAACAATTGTCTTTTAGTACTTGTTTTTAAAGTTAATAACTGTTAAAAGAATCTAAATTACTTTCAAGAGTTTCAGATTTCAAGAATATCCTGTGAAATTATCGTCAGTTAAAATACTCTAGTAAAAAGTTGTGTTAAAAAACAGAACAATAGAAAGTAGAATAATTCATTTTAAATGGTACTATAAAAACTTTCGTTGCTCTCATTTAAAATCATTAGAAAGATTTAGAAGAAAAAATAATAAACCATATTTAAATGATTATACAGACCTGTTGAAGTAGGTAATGTTGTTACTGAACTCGTTGTGCTTTTGCCACTAGTGGTTGTTACAATCATATGTGGAATGTTTGTTTCGTTCATTGAAGTTCCTAAAAGAAGATACGTGGTAATGATTGATTTAAAAACAGAAAAATCAATTGATGATAATCAAAACAGAGTTGTTTCTCTTTTTTCTTATCAATCATAGTAAATGTTATTTTGATAAAATCTAGTTTTGAAATCCTAAGTTATGTATGCGTATTTTCTTATTAAAAAAGTATTCAATTGAATCAATATTATAATTTTATTTCAACATAAAAATATTTCACTTACAAAGTTTGTTTTTTTTAATGAGAAAATACAATAGAGCAATAACTCATAACAACTAAAAATTAACTGTGAATCGGATCTCGTTCTTCTTTGTCTAACTCTTGTCTCTCAAATTCCCTAGAAAAAATTCTTTTTTCAATACAAATCTTATAAAATTCTCTATACAACCATAAGTATACTTTACCTCCAAAATTTCAATCAAGAGGATCAAGTAAGTTGTAAACAAGACGAAAAAAATAATTTTTCGCAATTGAAAACTATTCTTTTCCTATTATTTTCGTTAAAAAATGTAGTAGAAATATCAATTCAGTTAAGTTTAGTTCTTTTAAATATTCTTTTCTCATAATTTGTAACAATTTTTTTAAAGAGAATGATGTGCTTACGAGGTAAAGTTTCTCAAATACGATAAAAAATAACAATCTTATATTCAACAATAAACTCCGAACGAAAAAGACAGAAAATAGAATCAAAGTTGAGGGTGAGTGTGGACTGGCGTGACTGTAGGTATTATATTTATTTGTAGTTAACAACCACACCCACACCAACACCCAACAATTTCAATCTCTTACATTCGAATATGGTCTCAACCTTATTCGTATATGATATCTAAAAAAAGGCGCTTCAAATCTGGAAATAGACATTGTTCTTTTAGCTTATCGATCGGACTACTTTGACTATCGAAAAAATTGTTTGAGAATAAGACTTTACCTGCTGATACAACTTGACTCTTCCCTTGTCGAATAAAATAAAAAGTGGAAACAAAAATGATGATCACTACTATAATCATGAGTATTGTAAACTAAAAGACAATTTTGTAGTTGCGCAGTAACGATGACAGCCGTCGAGTTCTTAGAGAAAATAATATAGATTATAACTAATATAAAAGAAAAAACAGATCCATACTCAGTTGTTGTACTTGTCGATACTAATTCTGAATTTATAGTCATACTTTGAACGTTTTCATGGCAAGATACTGTGTTGATAGTATTTACAGGTTGAACTGTGCTGGATTTCTTCTTTCGATACTGATTTATGTTAGCTATAAGGCGAACTGTCCAAGGACAGATCCACTTGAGAGCAATTGTAAGACCACCATAAATACTAATTAGAAAGGTTATTGTGTAAAGTAAGTTAAACTGTTGGATATAAGTATATGAACACACCGAAGGTGAACATTGTTCAAAGTACGATGAGTAATTGATTTGTGTAGACCAATCTTCGACGAAAAGAACATTAACAAGATCTCTAACGGTTGTATTAATTAAGAAATGACTACTATTTTGAGAAAGAAGAATAGTAGTATTAATCGAATTATTATAGTTTGTCTGTTCTTGAATAAGTTTAATACATGAAGAGTCATAAAAACATTCAAGAGTTGAAGCAAGAAGCGATTCACTTGGTGTACAGCCCATTTTTAAGCCTTTAACTGGAATGATTTCAGATGAATTACTAGATATAAAATTTGCTTGAGTTGTACAGGTTGCATTTAATCCACAAGAACATTCATTGTCGTAAATCACGGCTTGAAGAACCGCATAGCTCTCGTATGGATCAATTAAAGGAACTATATATTCAAAATTGGTTCCATAAACTGATACAATCGCATTTCCATGGTTTATGGTACGAAGTAAGAAAAGAATACGATTGAATATAGTGGGGGCATCCAATAGACTCTGTTCGATCAACGAACCGATTTGGAGACGGAACAATGCTTCCGATATAAGTTGAGTAGTGCTCAACGTAGAAGAAAGAAATTGATCAACAGAATTGGTCATCGTTTGAATAGAAATTTGACATAGACCATTAAGAAATTGTAAATGAGCTAGAAGGAAACGACGATAATCTTTTGTATTATAGATAGATAAATCAGGAACAAGACCAGCTAAAAGATTCTCACGCCATTCATCCGAAACAAATGTACTTGAACAGACCTACAAGAAATTCAATACAAAACAAAGTATATTTGAAATATATATTCTAAAATATCAATTTTAATCAATTAACTACCAATAAGAAATTAATTTAAATGTTACCAATCAAATTTGATTTGAAATAAAATACATAAAATTGAAACAATTTCATCGCTAAGAATCGATGGAAAAACATTTTGTATTAATCGATTATTAATTTTCAATACATTTTCGATGAAAAAACATTTCAATTACAGACAGTGATTTATTTGCTATTTTTACAATTACTATAAAAGTTTTCTAAATCAGATATAGAAATAATAGATTAAATCAGAAAAAGGTCAAAAATTGTCATTTATCGATTTGTTTCTTGTCTAATTTTCCTATAGATTTAACTATGAAATAAGCACTTTTAAAAACTTATAAAATAAATTGTACACTTTAGAGCATTTCACATCAATATAGTCTTACCATTCATACTAAATAAATTCAAATAATATCTTTGTCTTACTTGATGAAATACAGGTGTAATTTGCACATAATGATCATATGTTGATGAAATTGATGAACATTGACACTGAAGTGTAGTTCCGTGCTTTTGCACAAGATTATTATAAAGATTGAAAGATGGATTGTCAAATGACTTCGTTAGAAGTTGAGGTTGAATGATAGTATACAAAGCAATGATAGTGAAACTAATAATGAGCAGAAGAAGGTAAAGACGTGTTGCCATTTGACCAAGACGTTTTGCTATCATTCGATTGGTATCACTTCCAAAAGTCCATAAAGAAAACATATTCAGATCGATTAATTTAGTGTATATAAGTGTACGTATTTTTGGTAATATTCCTTTTATTCGATCGAACAGTTTCGGACGAACTATTTACAGAAAAATTAGTATTATTGTTATTTTTAAGATCAAATAGTTTTAATTGTTATGACATCTAAGATTGAGAAAGTTGGAAGCAGTTCTACACTTTCTCAAACCATATTAAAACAAGATGTCAAATTAATAAAACGGAAACGATTTACATCGATTCTACTGTTGATATATGTTGTGTATCAAAATTATCATTGTGGGACTATTATTTTAGAAAATATTTAGGGTAAGGGTGTGGGATTTTTTCTTTATCAACATCAGCATACACCTACACTCACATCCATACCCACACCCTTCTAATTTTTATTTCACTCTTATAATTTACTTTCGTCTTATACAAAATAAGATTATAACATTTCTCTAAAAACATTTCATTAATAATTACCTTGTTGTTGTTGTTGTTGTTGTCTTTTAGGCTTTCGTGTAAATAAACCATGAAAAAAGTTGATAAGTAAAGGTGTAATTATTGTTAGTGCAGCCGAAAGACCACCAATCATAGATATCATTATAAGTAATATCCCAGCGAAATTATTTTTATGTGCTGTAACAGTATAACTACAAGAGGTTGGTGCACATGCTTCCCAATATAGCTCGTATGAATGTACAAAATTCCACTGATGGACCATTAGATCTTCAAATATCATTGATAATGTAGTATTTGGTGGAAAATGGCTCGATGCTTGATCATAAGTTAGAGGAGGAACACTAGCCATCACCGATGTGCTAATATAAGAAAACGAAGATATTTAGGTAAAGTTGGATCAAAATTGAAATATTTTTTTGTGAGATTTATTTAGGAATCTCTTCCAAACCTTATCCTTTAGTTTTCAATTGATCTCAACATATTGTACCTACTAGCATTTCTGCATTTCTATTATCTGCTTTAAGATCTCATAAACGATTCGAAAATAATTAGGATGTGGGTGTGGGTGTGACTTGAAAAGAATTCTCTTACCTACACCCACACCCACACTCTCTAAAAACTTATTATCTCATGAAGGAAATGTCCGATTAAACTGAAATTTTCAGAAGATGCTACCTACATTTGATGCTATTCATGGACAAGAATTCAGGCCAAACTGCGATCACTCGACTTTCATCCTTATATCAAGATATAGGCTAAAATTTCAGTAAATTAACTATAACTCGAAGAGAAAGCGCTATTAGCCACTATCCTTTTGGACTTTTACTAGGCACACTAGTATCTACTTATGTACAAAATACCAGCTCAAAAGCGATTTTCAAGTCGGTGAACCTTCCACGTGAGACGACTTTCATATAGATATACGACAAAGAATTCCAAATTCGGTAAAAAAATTTTATGTGTCGGAGTTTTTTGGAAAGTTGTTTGAAGTGTACCTGAATCAATATTAAGACTCAATAAAAAACGTCAGTATTTATAATGAGCATCAACATATTCTGAGATAAATCCGATAGAAACTACTCTCATTTCGATTCAGTTTTACTCACGTACAAGTCTGAAATATAACTTGTGTAATAGAGCAACATTGACAAGCAATCCGAGTCCGAATATAAACATTCGAATGTTGAAGAAAGAAGAGAGTTGAATATGTAACAACCATCAACAAAACCTGGTACTATGTAGGCTGGGAATCCATAACTATTGCTAGCACTCCAATGAGTTTCATATAATAGCAGCGATTGTATACAACTGATATTAGTAGCACAAACACATTGGGAGTATGCCACATTGTCGGAGAGTCCCAACAGATATGTTACATTGGCAAATGATAAACCATGAAAACGAAATGCAAGCTGAAAGTAAAAGAAAGATCTGTATTGCGTCGTTTATAAATCTCAACCCTAGTACTACCAGTCGAGATCATTTTTGACCCCAATGGTAGTAAACTAATCAGTACAATGAAACTTTTTAATATCTCGAAATTTTCACTAGTATATGCGAGATGAGATTGTCTGTGTGATTCTGAGTGTGAGTGAGTGTAGAGTGTATTTTTGCTTTTATCTAAGAAAATAAACAGTGGCTACGATGAACGGAACTTTGGGAAAGGAATGAACAGCAATTTTCAGATTAGATGAATGATTTTCAGATGTAGTAGGTGATCATATAGAAATTGCCTTTTAGAATACATTCACGAATTCACAAACTGCAAAAAAGAGGTTGGTCGTAGTAGGGTTAAAAATGCTGTTTTTCAAGTCAGAAATGATAGGAATCTTATAACATATCTTTTTCTAAAATGTTTTTCCTAAAAGAAATCTAAAAAATGTGGTACTACTTAGCAAAATTAACCCTTTTACGACAGAATTATTTTTATTTGAGAAAAATAGAAGAGCAAGTTTTTAACCTCGTGGAGAAAGTTGATCACTAAACAGTTATTAGTCAGAGAAAATCGTTATCTTATCACATTTTGCTCAGCGGCAGATGTATATATATATAATAGTTCGGAAACGGAACGAAATCACTAGAAGATAATCAAAGTAAAGGAATTCATCAGAGAATATGAAAAACACTTAATATAGGATTGAATCAGTACAAATTTTGGAATATTCGTGTAACAATATTTTTGACAAATTATGCCACACGAAAAGATTTCATAAGACTTTTTTTATACTCATCTACTATCACAGTTCATGTTATCAAATTTCTATTGCATCATTAATCTACCACAACCTATCATTTTCTTAATCTGTCTTTTTTTATCACATTATCATTATCATCACTCTTTCCTATACCTCGTATATATGTGTATGATATATAATTATTATTCAGCAATGTTCACTTATTTTTATTTTCAGAATCTTCTTTTACTTGTTTCTATTGAAGTCGTGCGTCATAATCAACCAGTCGTTCTTTTACTTTTTTGTATCATTTTTCTACACTAGTAACTCTAGTTTTCTATGTTCATCATTTATTTGTTTCGTTGTTATCAACAAAATATAGGGAAAACACTGAACTTTCACTCATATATTCAAGAATTTCCCATTTTAAGATGGAGGAAATTTCGTTTTTTCAGTTTCATCCAAAGAGTTCGAGCAAAGTATTTTTCGTTTCAACTAAAACATACCTGAACTGATTGCTGACCATTCATTTCATTGATCAAGGGTCCTACCACTATTTGAGCACTTGATGATAGCGTGTAAAATTGATCAACTTCAGTGACAATTTGTACAAGATCAATGAGATTGCGATAATCGACGACTGTTGACTGAATGAATTGATTATAAATTGAATCTAGTGAAGCATTGAAATTGTTTTCAGTGAGTAAATTTGAAGTGATAAAAGATCTCATAGTAAATCGCTGGATAGCATCATCAGTCGTGGTATTAGCCAGTTGACAGAGTCGTCTTAATAAACTCAATTCGTAGAACGCTTGGTGACGCCAATCTGAATTAGGTAAGTACTGATAGAAAGGCTGAAATAGGTCAATCACATCATTTTTGATAAAGTCGCTTGTGCACACTTGATGAAAGGTTGGATTGATTGAAACAAATGCATAATATGGTATTACTATGTTCGAACAAAGACATTTAAGAGTATTTGGATACAATGTTTGCAATTGATTGTAGGTAGTGAACGATGGATTTGATGCACTTGATGTGATAGTTTGAGTCTCAAGTGAATTGAATAGAAGCAATATTAGAAACACAAGCCTATTGAAGAATATATAAAAATAAATATATTAACACAAATGAAATTGGATTAATTTCTATCAAAAAGAAATTCATTAACAGATTAAGACTGCAAGAAAGTGAGAAAGACTGAAATCATACAAGTCTCATGTGATGAAAACTGGTGGTTTACCGCGATTTTACCAATGCGGTTACTACCTCTTATTACTGTCATTTACCACGGTAAACTACCGGTTTTAACGATTTTTGTATTAGATGATGACTTACAGCTAAAAAGAAAGCGGTGTTCTCGACATATTGGGCATATGTGAAATTGAAAAACTTGCTTTCATTATTGAATATTTTGTTTTTGTAAAGAGATTATTCTAAATATACCATTGCTCATATATTCAATTAAGAGAATACGCGATGATAAAATATTTATTGAATGATTACTCCAAGTAAAATCAAAATAACTATAACAATTGTATCTTGAAACTAGCTTTCTTAATTAGTTTATTAAGAGATTTTCTAGCAATTAACTCAACCAGATAACGAACAATAAGTAAGAAATATTATTATTATGTTCAATTAAGTCTTCTCTCTTCTCTTAGAAAATCAAAATTTTCGAACAAATATTGAAGTTGAGTTTTTATTGTAGAATGATGCAGCAAAATCTCCTCTTTTAGAATATATATGGTTTTTATATAAACGCCGAAATTTGATAGACTAACTGGAGAAAACTTGAGTTTTATTACTATGTTTTCGAAAGATTTTCAGTGCTTTTTTGACTTTTTAGTTTATGGCAAGCTGCATAGCCATTGACATCAATGCTTAAGAAAGCACTATTACATTATTGCTCAACTATCTAAATTGATAGTTTGATATATTTTCTCTGATTTTGAATAAAAATGTTTATTTCTAAAACTTCTTTAACGTTTTTTTTCAAAACATGCTTTCCAATTAGAAAAATTGAAATAACTTTCAACTAACTCAAGATATATCCAATATTGTTATTGTTTGGAAGGTCTTGATGAGAGTAAGTTTTTGTCTATAGGGATTTTTTATATTTAATTCCTTTCATAAAAAATGAATAATACGGAATTTTAAAATTCTGTTCATACAAAAGTTAGATGCTGACATTGCCTTTGATTTTGAAACTACCTCAGGCTCTATACTGTGTTTTGCGACGAAGTAATATCGATTCTCTCAAAGAGCAAAAACGAATTCAGAGTCAGCCTAAAGTCCGATAAAGTACGACATATCGAGTTGAAATTTTTACTACGAGTGTATCTCACAAAGATCACTCATACCTAAAAGTTTTGAGCTCAAAAAAATCATCTTATGTGGAAAATCGTTTCTGGGGAGGGGGAGGGGGAGGGGAGGGAGAGTTTAAATAAATAAAGCGAGATTTTCTATTTGAGATGTATACTCATAATATTATAAAACATGGCCGTTCGTTATACTCAATTAATAGTTTTTTACAACTTTTTATATGTCTTTATTTTTTAATATTTTTAAAAATATGCCTGAAACAGTTTTGGAATTCCAGTTATACATGATTTCATAAAGAATTGTAAGTGCTATCTTACAATAATAAAAACAGTTCGATCAAAGGGGCTATAAAAGACAAATTTGAAAAATAATAAATGGAAAATTCTGTATAGACTATCTGTTTTTTAATTATGTTCCATTTAACTTATTTTCTATTTAGCTTGTAAATAAGAGGCATTAAATGTTATTGATCTCAGAATTTTGTAGTTATTCGAATAATATCTTGGTACACTTATTTCTGATGTAAAATACAACAAAGATTTTTCCAGTAAAAACATTCATACCAGCAAGCAAGATCAAATACGTGTGTGTCGTTATTTTCTGTTTTTTGAGATCGTTTTCTGTTCGTTCATTGATTGATTTGAACAGATTCAATTGTTTTATCCATACACCGAATTTACGCACACGTATCATAAAATATTCTACAAAATTTAAATACAAATTATATTTTGAATAGAAATTGTTTTTCATTCGATCAAACTTTACCGAAATTAATGTGAATGTTTGTTAAACGAAATCCTATTTTTGATGCGATATTAACTACTGAAGTTGATATGAAACGCAACACGAT